TAAATTTTATATACCAGGTATGATAATACTACATGTCGATCCGCAGCATCCAGATGATTCCTACAATGAACGTGTCCAAAACAAATTCAAAATGATCAATGGTAAGCCAACAGTGTACATATGTCACGACAGGGTTTGCCGTATGCCAGTTACAGATCCAGCAGTGCTTGAAGAAAATCTCAAAGAGAATTTTTTTAGAGTAGAACTCTAAATAATTTAAACTTTTAAAAATTTTCAAAAAAAAAAATATTTAACAAATAATTAAAGACAAATTAATTTGCTTTAAAAACTATAAGTTAGCAATATTACATTATTATTATTAAATTACCGCAATATATTTAGACTCGTTTAATATAATTAGAATCGTAGTACTAGTCTCGAAAGCTGTTGAATATTTTTTAATGCAATCAAAAATGTTATTTTAAATGTTTAAATATAATTAACTTAAAATAATTATATATAATCAAAGGATTGTATGGTTGGAAACTGGGTGAGATTTGCGAAGCGAATCAAAGTTATGTGAATGTTTTTATTTTGATATTGTTTTATATTTTAAAAATTATTGATATCGACATCAATTATTTACTTGGTAGAAGATAAATCCATGATATTGTTTTACATTATATTATTGAAAGCATATATGCAATTTTTATATGCAGATATATTATTCTCTTCATAAGTCTCGATGTACTTTAGGAAAATTGTATTTTTTGATGTTTTTTTAATATGATTAAATTTTTAAAAGCTCATATATTCTTCTCATATAAGTATATAAATTATATAAAAATATATGAATGTATTATTTTTTTAACAAATATATTTGTTATACTCTCTGAAGGTGGTAAACGTTAAGTGACAAATGGTTGTATTGACATATAAATTTAATAAATAAACGCTTTCTCCTTCTACATACTATTTGTTTATGTACATAATCCAAGAGCGGTGAGTATTTACAAACTAACTTAGAATACATGGCTTCGGATATGGTTGAGTAAAGGAATTGTGGAACAGAAGAGGGTTATTTATGAACGAAAGCAGATTATTGATTGTCGGGATTTTAATTAAAACAGACTTCGATTAAAGCGACAAAGCTAACCAAAATGGAGTGAATCCAGAAAACAATTGGGCTTAAATTGGTTTGTGTAAAGGAGTAAAGAAATTATGAAAAAGAAGGGTTATTTTTGAACGAAAGCAGATTATTGATTGTTGGGATTTTAATTAAAACAGACCTCGATTAAAGCGACAAAGCTAACCAAAATGGGGTGAAGCCAGAGATCAATTGGGTATAAATTGGTCTATGTATTATTACAAGAAAACAGATGAACAACATCATGGGAGATCCGCATGGAATTATTCTAACTTCAATTGCAGTAGGAAAGTTCTTGTTGCATGGGGAAAGTCTCGCTCTTTGGAAAAGGAAATTGTATTCGACCTCACTCATGTTGGCTTTATTGCAATAGATATTGATGCAAGTAGATATTGATTAGAAGTTAATTGATTATGCTCTTTTACAAAAAGTATTCTGCCTAAAAGTGGTATGCGACCCGAGAATGCAATCAGTCGAAATCTGCAAAGCCGTTTTTTGACAAAATTGGATATTACTTCATTCCGTTCGGTCGACGGGTCTCCATTTTCCATTCCATACAACTATCTTCTACGACTGAATATTAATTTCATATATTACCAAGGTGATTTGAGTGAACGGTAGATGAATAGAAGCACATCAGTTAAGGCTTCTTGTATTTTTTAAATATGACAATCAGTCTCATAAAACAACCCATGCTCTTGTTGTAACAGTTCTAAAAATTTTAGAAATATATCTGCTTTTTGAGTTTATTTTGAGAGGACTAAGCAGCTTTTTTCATCTGAGCAGTCGTTTATTTCAAGCGGCGCATATTATATTGTGCAATAATATCAATGCATACCTCTTCCAAGTGGCTTCTTTCTTTGAAAAAAGAAATCTTTATCTACCCCCTTCTAAGTACTAAGTCACTCTCCTAACTTCCAAGACTATGACTCTGTCTATCACCTTCGGTGAATACAATTTCCCTACTACCACCGAACCCAGAATCTTCAGTGTCGTACTATGCAGTGTGTTAACTTTCTCCCCACATGCTCTGCAAAGTTAAAAGGTCATAAAACTATGCTTATGATGCTCGCAGATTGCTCTTAGGGTAAAGACATAAAATCGTACTGGACAAATACAATGCAATATCGCGACCAATATCGCACTACGCATTTTAACCGTACGTCTAAACTCCTCAATGAATTTCAGCAACCGAATAGTTTTACATTGTCTAATGAAGAATGAAGAGTGCTTAAATCATCTTATTTACAAATGACTAAAATCCAAAAGAAGCAGTGAAAGCGTTTTATCGTTTATTCTGAATGATCTCGTGGGATAAATACAATCATATCTGCAACGTCCACAGGAACTCACAATAGACAAAAAAAAAAAATTTTTAACTTAAATTTGTAGCTATAGCCAAAATAATAGGCCATCTCTTTAGTGATATGTTGAGTTGAGTGAGTTCATCCTTACTACTTTATTCATCAGTCTCTAATTTCGTATCAAAAATACATAGAATACTTATTCATTGTACTTATTGCACATTGGATGACATCGACTCGCAACTGGGGTCGGTAACGCACCTTGTAAAATGATGCTAAGACGCGCAAAAATTTTTAGTATCAATGATAATAATGATAACTTATAAAGATCTCAATCAAACTTAAAATTATTGTAGTAATTTCCGTAGGTACGCAACACATATATCCACACCTTCCATTAAAAATTTTTCAAAAACTACCATTACGGAGCAGCTGATATCGGCAAAGTTTTTCGTTAAACTTTTTTCAAATGTAGACCCATACATTTTTATGTACCTTAAATGCAACCATTCATAACTCCAAACCACGCGTCTTTCACCTACGTATTCCAACTTATATATACCTTAATGTCAGTCAATATCGAAACTTCGGATCCTAAATAGATTTTCTGTACAATTTTTGCAGTCAATTATAAACACTTTCATTTTATTCCTATCCTAAACTTATATATGTATTTGTATACTGTGTCCTGAACTTTTGCCTTTCTTTTTCATTGATTGAAGGATATTATAAGAATTATAAAAAAATTAATATGTGCTTCATTGTCTATAAAAGCTTTTAGAAAACACTATATATTACTATGTTATGTTATATATATAATAATATAGTATATATATATAATAATATAGTATATATATAGTACATTATATATAGGTCGTGTGCGAGTTAGGCTAAGTTGATGCTAAACCAAATGGGAGATTTTTTGGGATTTTTTGCACTGCACACATTTAGCCATTTATCAACACTATCGACACATCACTACATTATCGGCTCATCTTAGAATTTCCCTTATTTAGAACGCAACTTAGCCTAACTCGCACACGTCCATAATATACCATATTCAAATTTCATAAGTTTAGGACGTGTGCGAGTTAGGCTATGTGGCGTTCTAAATGAGGGAAATTCTAAGATAAGCCGATAATGTAGTGATGCGTCGATACGTGTTGATAAATGGCTAAGTGTGTGCAGTGCAAAACATCCCAAAAAATCTCCCATTTGGTTTAGCATCAACTTAGCCTAACTCGCACACGACCTTAGAAGCCTATATTTTTCTTAAAAAATTTTCTGACTAGTATTTTTCTACTACGAAGAGAATATTTAGCCTAAACTTTGTTTTTGGAAACTTTTTCCCGGTAGACACCCTATTTACAAAATATGCCAATTTTAGAATTTTACAAGCATATATTTTTTCTAAGCATTTTATGAGATTACCTAATTAGCTACTTTCTTCTCTGAAATGCTTAATAGTTAGAGTGCCCAAATGTCACATTTTGGCGGGATAGTATCGCTTTTGGAATTTTTTCCCGCTAACCACCAAATTCACAAATGTCCCAAATTGTTAAATTTTTAGAATTTATAAGTTTTTATAGTTTGTTCTGTACTTTATATTATTCCTATAAGTTATTGCATAAATCCAATTATGATTAATTTATTATTTTCTACTCTGAATTATAAAATATAGTTGAGTTTTAAATTATTAAAATTAAATGCCACGCATTATATATGTACATATATAGCGGCTTTCTGTGGCTTTTATTATTTAAAATAGGCTATTTGTGCACCCCGACCTAAAAGATCTATTGTGCGCCTATAGGCCCAACTAGGACAATTTTAGACTATTTATAAATCTTATAATTGCAGTGGGCTTAATTTTACCTATTTGATTTGGGACCAGGATCCCGCTACCAAGGTAATCGAGTCTACGTCTTGCCAACGCTGGGCAGTTGCATAGAATATGTTCTGATGTTTCCTTCTCCTCATAACAGAGTCGACAGGAATCACTTTCTACCGCACCTATAATCTTCAGCATTCTGTGGCTTAAAATGGTATTCTTGCTTGAGCGAAATAAAAATCACAAAGGCTATATTATGTAGAAATTATTTTATTGTATTGTCTTAATTACTTGAGCCGAAACTTCAAACTTATCCGGAAAAATGATTCTTTATCTAAATAATTTTCTAGTGCCAATATTTTTGAATTCAATTCCAGCTTGCTGCGTTGAATGAGTGTTGACAGCTACACATATATATTATTTAGTCAAACTATCCATAACGATATTCCATATTTCCAAGTTGAGATAGATTAATTAGTTTAAATGAACCAAAAATTCAACACAACACTATTACTACTATATGCCACACTTTTATATACATATCTACTTACATATATCTATGTAATATAGTCATACTATCCATACATCTTGTTGGAATAGGTCCATTAGTTCAAATAATCCAAATCGTTAACACATAAATTATTATACTTTCACTGCATTTTAAATTCTAGAACGATTTGCCATATTTATATTACAAAACTGGACCTCCTCTACGTTGTGTACACATCTATTTTTAGACAACTTCAGTATGTGGAAATAAAAACATAAATCGATTCAAAACTTAAAATACACATTCGTTTGCAATTTATTTTGGAATATATTTCAACAGCAAATGGAACATTTCTTAAGAGAGAAACATACTTAGAACTTTAGAGTCTCATCATTGAAATAGATTTGTTAATTACACATACATATTGTTTTAACTTAAAACACTGAAATTAATTATATTTACGCACTTAAAAAAAGTAGAGAACAAATATTTACGAAAAAAATTCAAAATCATCACAATAGACCCAAAAAATGAGTAAAATAAGCGCCATTTGAGTACGGAGCAACATATTTAATAAAATTATGCTTCATTGAAGCTCATAGCTGTATCGAAAATGTCTGAAATAGCTTCCATACGCTCCTGATGCTCAAATTTTGCCAATCGCCTGGACCGCACACCTCTTCGTATGGCATATGATTTGCGCGCAAAACGGCGTCGATACAATGTATCCTCTTCTTCAGTATCATATTCAGGTGCTGAAACAGAATCTTCTTCATCCAATACACCATAAAACTCAGGTTTCTCGAGGCTTCGATGCACTTTAAAAGATCTGAAAGCACATTTCGGTTTCCGTATTGCGCGCGAATTGGCACTTATGCGATCAATACTTTGCCCACCACCTCCACCATTTGCACCGCCGCCACTGCTACCAGTTATAGTCACCACACTCAGCAGGTCAGCTAGTTCAGCATCAGTACGCTGTTGCTCTTTGAGCTTCTTTTTGTACTTAGGCGCATAATCTAATATATATAGCATATTATTGAGTCGATCTTCATTAGTTGCAGTAGGAGAGGGTGTTGTTGTGCCAGCAGCAGTCAAAGATGTGGGAGTGGACGGTGGCGCTGGTGGTGCACCCTGAATACCGTTAAAAGTATATCGACGCTGTGAACGACGCCTTCGCGTTACAAATCGCCACGGACACAAAGTTGGTTCATCTTGCACTTTATGCAAATCGAGTATGTCTGATGACAGTGCAGGGGGAGTATTGCACAACTCAACTTCATATTCCTCATCCGATTTGGCCATTTCAATTGTCTACACATACACACACACATATATGAGTAATTTTGGTGTATATATCAATATAAATATTTACCTGAAAATAATACTCTGCTTCAAACTTGCTTATTTTATCAGACAAACGATATTCCATAGTACGCGACAAATGCAAGTGTATGATTCGTAGGATTAAAATTTGAGTTACAAGTGTAACTGAAATTTTCTAAAAAATTTTATTCTTTACGGCAAACTCTTTTCTTCTTCTCTTTGTTTTGCTTTCGTTTGCTTGTTTTTTGTTTTGCTGCTTTTGTTGTTTTACATGTGTTTTTATTTTGTTCGTGTTGTTGTTGTCTGTTGATACAGTTCCCGCAGTCAATATATTTCGAAAATGAGAATATATGCAAATTATTTCCAAACGCAAATTTAAATATCAAATAAATCACTAAAGAATAATATTCATTTTTCCGTTACTTTGTCTTATTATTATTTTAAAATAAATATAATACTTGGTGGCCAATCGTACTATTTCGGGTGCCTACTAGCAGTGCTACCATCGCTTGTAGGAATCATACATTTTGACATGTCCAGCTCGTTGAACTTTTTGTTGTGTATTGTACAAAATTAGAATCAGAGATGTTAACTTATAATAAGTTTGTCAAACATCGCATTGTACAGAGCATATTAAATTATCATACATAAATAATTCAAAAAAATTAAATATATAATTGCAAATAGGAAAAGCATAAAAATTTTCTAAATATTTTGTTGTGTGTTGTACTTCTTCAAAACCAGAAATGTTACTCAGTTTAAGTTTGTCAAACACGTCACACATATAATTGTTTATTAATTAAATATTAAAATGTAAAAGTAATTTATAAAAGACATAACATACATTTTTTATTCACAATATTTAATAATTCTTTGGACAAATCTAAAATAATATTTCATATTATTGTATTATGCTCTTTTATGCCTTAAGTCTATAGCAGTTAGTTGCATTTGCAATACAATCGGAATTTTGCAGGAACTTCAACTATTGTTGCAGTTTTACAAGACAAGATAACAATATAAATCGTAAGATATATGTTCTTCGAAAATGAAAGATCAACCAGAAGAATTGCAATTGTTGTTGTTTTCAATGCAAATTTTAAATTTGAGAATGAGAGAAAAAACAATATGGCCGTTCAAACTCCGGCATGAGAGCCTTCTTATTTGTGCCTCGGCACTACGGCAAAACAGTGTTGTTTAGTAATAAATTTCAAAACTTACGCCTTTCAGGAGCAAATTACTACAGCTCTAATACATTTTGAAGAAAAAATGGCAGTAAGCAACACAGCATTTTTTTATAAATCGCTATCACTTTCCGATTTTAAAAAAACGCGTAAGTACTGTTAACAATTATTATAAGATAATATAAAAATAAATTAACATTATTACAGCCTCTATGAGTTTTTTCTTGCTAGTTTCCTTTTAAATTTAGGCACAACCAATTAGTAGTAAAAATACAAAATTGGCAATACTGATGTGACACTCCGCATAACATGCATTTTCGGCATAGCCCAAAAGAGCGTAATTTGCCGTGCCCGGGACACTCTGCATAACATGGCCCTTATTAAATATGTAATCATGTGTATGATTTGTTATTGTTTTATGTTAACAGCAATACTCTAAAATAGTAAATATTAATAATTAAAGAAAAGTATTTATTTAATGCTTTAAGAATATCAACCTTTGCAAAAATAAATTATGACTAAATTTATACATATATTTCATTATCAATTAATATGGAGTACCCTTAGCATAGTCAAAACATTCGTAGCAATAATATAATTTTAATAACTTATTTAAAAAATAATGTTATAAATAATAATAAATAATAATAAATAAATAATAAATTATATATTATTATTATACATACAACTATTATAAATTTTTATAATATTACATATGTAGATAATATAAGCAGTATATATGCAAAAACATTTGCTTGTCAACAAAAATACATCATTCATTTGCTGCCGAAATACTAATATTTTTAACATCTGGCAATGCCATTCGCTGCCGGTGGAATTTTGTAGTAAAACATTATTTGTCTGTGGCGTAAGTTTGTTCGTGATCTAAGCAAAGGTGGATATTAATCTGTGTGAATCCTGTAATCTATTGAAAATCGCGAGTTTTGAAAAATGAACGCCTTCCCAGGTACTTTTGCTTTTGATGAATATGGTCGGCCTTTTATTATATTGCGGGACCAGGAGCAACAAAAACGGATTACAGGCACAGAAGCTATTAAGGTAGGATATCCCAGCAAAATGGCCATTTAATACAACCTTTGGGTGGATGTAAATTTTTCCTGCAAAAGAAACACTTTTGCTTAAATAAATTATTTCAGAAGCGTTTATCAGGTGTTTTAATACAAGTTCTTTAGAAGTTTCCAGATGTTTTGTTTTGTTCGCATATACTAAGAAATTTATGCAAACAACTTAACATTTTAATTTATAACAATTTTTAAATGCAAAAACCGTATTTAATTGTGTTCATAATATTAAATTTGTTAATTTTATAAGTTAAAATAAACTTAAAATAACCAGTCGGCTTTTCATGACGTCATAATAATTTGAGGTTAAAAATGCCTCGATGAGTGACTAATAAACAGTGCCGTCATGAGTTTTTGTTTTTGAGAAAATGATACTTTATTTTAAATAACATATTAAATGTGAAATTGTTTGTATTTTTATTTTAGAGCCACATCTTAGCTGCCCGCCAAATTGCTTCCACCATAAAAACTTCTTTGGGTCCCAAAGGTT